CGAGTGCTTCGGGTGCTCGCTGCTGCTGCGAGCCCAACACGAGGAACGCGGGGCCTGCGGGCACTGCGAGCCGTCTCGGCCGTGGCGGTCTCCGCACACGGGCGCCAGCAACACGCCTCACTGGAAAAGGAAGCACGCTGCTCAAGAGAGAAGCGGATTGGGCGACCAGACCCCGGGACCCCGGGACGCCGGGGCGAAGCACCGCTGCTCGAGAGAACCAGATTCGGCGACTCTTCAGGAGGCTGGAGGGGGAGGAGGAAGAGGAGGAGGAGGAGGAGGAGGAGGAGGAGGAGAGAGGAGGAGGAGGAGGAGGAGGAGGAGGCGGAGGAAAAGGGGGGGGGAGGAGGAGGTGGAGGAGGAGAGGCTTCTTCGGATCACCGGCGCCCGGAGGGACGGCCCCGGGGCCCGACGCGGGCACGCAGCCTGGGCCTGCAGAGGGCCCTCTCCCAAGAGCGCAGAGGCCTCGCCAGGAGAGGCGGCAAGGCACGGGCCCGCCGACCTCACCCACTCAGTGATGGGCCTGTTTTCCACCACCACCACCAGCTGGAGGGGGGGAGGAGGAGGAGGAGGAGAGGAGGAGGAGGAGGAGGAGGGAGGAGGGGAGGAGGAGGAGGAGGAGGAGGAGGAGGGAGGAGGAGGAGAGGAGGAGGAGGAGGAGGAGGAGGAGCACGAGGAGGAGAAGGAGGAGGGCGGGGAGGAGGAGGAGGAGGAGGCGGAGGAGGAGGAGGAGGAGGAGGAGGAGGATCCCCTCCCCCTCCAACTTATGGTGGTGGTGGTGGAAAATAGGCCCATCACGGAGAACTGCTCAGCACTGGCAGCGCGCTGGGTGGCGGGCGGCTCGCGTCTCCCGCCCGAGCCCGCTCGAGACCAGGCCGAGGCCGAGGCCGAACGAGCGGATCTCCCGCACGACCTGCACCCCCAGTCTCTTCGGATTCGACCGTGCCACAGCTCGCGATCGGACTCTCGACCGAAGGCGACCGCCGTGGAAACGCAACCGAAGGGGTCGGCACAGGCGGGGGGGGCGCGGCCCCATGCTCCCGAGGCGGGCACCTCAAGGCAAACCCCAGAGACGAACTGGAGGGTAGCCTTGTGGTTCTTACGGGCCTCGGGCTACGCATCGAGCCGCATCGCCGATGCATTGGCGATACGGCGCGATCCTCCGACCCCATCTACTCGGACCCCGTCTAGGAGGCCTAGATCCACGTCCAAACCTTCCAGGCAGCAGGTGCCGCCAGACATCGACTGGCCCAACGTGTTGGCAAGGAGGTGGTGGGCGGCCCCCACCTTCGCAAAGTGGTCAGCCCAGGCAGCACCAAAACCATCTCTCCATCTCGAGAGGGTCGTGCAGCACACTGTCAAGCTCGTGGTGGGCTGGCGTCCATGCGAAACGAACTGCTGCTCGACAGTTCGGTGGCGAGCAGCGCGAGACATGTCACGCTAACGGCGAGCGTGTTTGGCGCGGCCTTGCTGGACATCTTCGGACCACCAAGTGCTCTCGTCCACGGGCCCCAGGAAGTCCGACGCGAAACCTCCATGGCCAGGATCCGCTTTCAAGCCCAGACTGACCGCATACCTCTCAGCACGGCCAGCAGTCTGTACAGAATAAGGTGTGGGCCCGTTGATCGCACGGATACGCAAAACGTACCCCTCGTTGAACTGCACACACGAGCACGTGCCCACATCGGCGAATCCCTGGAACACTAGACGCGTACCCCGATCCATCCGTGAAGCTGTCTCCCGATCTAAGTACGTACTTGCTGATAGAGTCTGTCCCACGAAATCCCCCCAGGATGCTCCGAGACCCCGAAGGCGAGGTAGTTCTGATCCCAAGACTTATTCACCAACATTAAACGCACCTCATGTCATCAACATGTCCCTGACGGTACCGAGGTCCTTTGGAGTGCCCAGGAAGTCCTGGTGGTGGTCCACCAAATCAAGGCAGTCGTGAAGAACATGTCCCCAGCATCCAGTCGACCGAGCCCCACAAACAATACAAGGCATGATGGGTACCCGATTCGTGACGTCCTGGATCTGCGGGGCAAAAGAAGTAGTGGGGGCAAGAACCTGGCGCTTTGGAAAACTCGGAGACACAGCGGCGCAGCACGAGCACGTGCATGCGATGCGAGGTCGTCCAGCCAGAGCTGAAAATCTGGAACGAGGCCCACCTCCAGCTCGGGTAGATGAGTCCTTGAACAGCTTCGCGAGTCTACCAGCGCACGGCAAGCTCAGCTTGCAATAGTGGTGGCGGCTCGATGCCCCATGCGATGCGGCGCTTGAGAAATGTGACTGTAATTTGTGAGCTGGAAGTGGAGACTCGGAGCGAGGCCGCGACCGCCCTCTGTACTGTTTGTTTCCTAGGAGGGTCAGCGGAATTTGCTTCTCGCTCTTCATCCATTCTTGGCTGCGCAGATTGCCGCGGCAGCATTGCGTGCAAAGACAGGGCCGACAGACTGGCCGCACAGCAGTGAGTGACAAAGTTGTGCGGCCTCACAAGAGAGGAGAGCTCACAGGCCAGCAACCCTGCAGTGGTGTGAGTGCACTGTCCTTTCCTCCCACGCTGTATCGCGGAGGCGGTCACGATACGGCTCCCAATCTCCACTGAGAGTGAGAATAGCCGAGCGGACGGCGGCAGCTGTGGCAGTGACCTGAGCAGAGCGAGGGACAGGTTGCGGGCTCCACTCCGCCATCGCAATGAGGTCTACCTTGCGGAACGAAATAGCATGTTGCGAAAGACGCAATGCTGAACGAGGAGGAAACTGCTGACGATTCGCATGAATTAGATCAGAAGGATTCTCAGAGGCACTGCGTCATCTTGTGCGCTTCCTGCGCCCGTCGCCGCCGAGGCCGAGACGGCAATGAAGCGAAGCCTGCAGAGGCCAGAGACAACGGTGCGACGCATCTTGAATTCGGCAATTCTCAGGAGGATCGGATTGGTTGTTCCTCTGCCACGAGATTCGGCAATTCTCAGGAGGAGTCGGCCATTCTCAACACTCAGCAATTTTCAAGAACATTCAACAATTCTCAGGAGGATCCGGCAATTCTCAGTTCGGCAATTCTCAAATCGGATCAGGAGGATTCGGCAATTCTCTGGAGAACGATGCGACGCATCTTAGTTCTTGTGCCCCAAGAAGATCGGATTGGTTGTTGACCACATCCTGCATCTGTTTGCTGTCCTGTGGACCGGCTCCCAGGAACAGGACAGGACCTTTCTCCTCGCCTCCCCCCACTCTCACTATCATCGCCACCTCCCGTCCTCACCATCCTGACCAATCCTCTTCTTCACTCTCGTCCTCGCTCGCACTGGCATCTTCACCGCTCTTATGCGCCCCCACCCCCGATCTCTCTCCCCTCCTCGTTGTCACACTCATCCCCGCTCTCGCTCTCACACGGCCTTCGCCACCCCGTACCCTCAGTCTCGCCCACACCCTCCGAAGAAGACCTCCAACTCTCGCAGAAGGCCTCTAAAGGCTCCCACGTAAAGCTAGAATCCGGGCGGCTGCCATCAAGCACGTTAGTCGGCGGTGGACAAACCTTCCTTTAGAACACCACCCTTTCGTGAAAGCGGCCTGAGGCCGAAACCGACGGACCTGGACCCGCAAAAATGATGGCCGCGACTCCCTCTCGCGAACCGAAACGGCCAATTCGCTAATCGACGTGTCAGGGTAGGAGGTCTAGCAACCCCCGAGATAAACACATGTGAATCGGACATTCCCCTCGCCATGGGCTTCAAACTCTCACCGAGGGCCCGCTGCCGGCTATCCCTCCCGGCGGGGCTCGAAGCCCTGCGGCGATCGACTCTTTTTGTGATGTGCCACTACTACAGCGCACATTAAAAACAAACAAAAAAATGATTGAGGAGGAGGAGAGGAGACAACGCCCACGCCAAACCATTGTCCAACTCGTGCCGGGGAGTCGGCAGGCAACCCTGCCGCAGGACCGTCATCATCCTTTCCACCCGAATGAGACAAGCAGGAAAGCAGATGGCGACTGATACGAGTTGCCCTCAATACTACAGCGCACACTGTGAGGGCAATCGAAAGAGCAACTGAAGGGACGAGGGGCGATCAAGACACGAACCGTCACTCGTGCGGCTAGCGACGTACTCTTTGAAAACACAAGTGCCACGACAATACGTGAGTCCCCCACTTTCCGTGGACCTCTAGCACTCCCTGCAGGCCACTGGGGGGTCCCACCTAGGAGGGGCGAGTCCGAGAGGCCCCCGGCGAAACTCGTGAAAACACGGGCGACATTACTTCGCGCCCTCCGTGGAACTCCAACTCTTGAGGAAAGACCCTCTGGGCTGCCACTGGCATGCATTTCCCGAAAAGACCTTGACTGTTTAGTGGGGTTGTTCGACGCGAGCGTTCTGCCGTCGCCAAATAATTCTTTTCTCCTCCTCCTTCCGGAACCCCCTTCTCCTCCACCTCAATCCCTACCTGTCCACTGCCGTTCCTGGCGGGCCGCTAGGTCACGCTGGCCTGCTCCGGGCATGCGCGAAGAGATCTGCCCGTGAGTGTTGGCCAGCGTCAACACGGAAGGCGTCGGACCAGAGCATGCCGGACACGTATCTGACAAGAGGAGGATGCCGACAGGGATGACGACGGCGTTGACAAGGGTGGAAGGGATCTGCTCGTTCTCTCCTGTTCATTCTACACCTGCACCTCAGCTAGACTTGGCCCGTGACGGAGGGAGAGTGTCCGTTGCCGGTCCTGGAGCAAAGCACAAGACGGCAATTGAGAAAAACAAACAGAGAACGATACGGACAGAGAGAACAGAGACAACGACCGATTGCGCAACATGCACTTCGCTCCCTCTCGCGTTGGAGACAGGGATCCAGCGGGACATAATAGCGGCCACAGTCTAAAGAATCTCGTGTTCCTCCCCGTCCCGTGGTACCGTGATCACCCTGGAGGAAATCCGCCTCGTCCTCGTCCCGCCTCATCCTCGCTATCCACCCGCAGTCCACCTTCACCTCATCGTCCTCCCTCATCTTCGCCCCCTTCTCATTCCCAGTTTGACAGAACGGGGCCGACGCCAAACCCTTCGCGCAGCGGCCCCCAGGGGAAAGCTCGGGGCGCGAACGACCGTACCCGTGGGGTCGCTAACGCGTCTGCAGCGGCACCTGGGTCGACGAGCCGCAAAGTCTTCACTGCGCTGCCATTTTGTTCCCGGGCCCCGACGTGCTTGGCCATGGAAGTGCCAGGGGGGAAGATGCGGGGTGTGCTGAGGGGGTACGTATTTCAAACCGAGACCTGCCCTCGCACGAGTGCGACGGTGCTGGTTCAGAAACGCTGGGCCTGAGGATTCCGATGGTCAACAGCTCTTCGCCTGGGAGACGTGGCCGCATCGGTGCCAGTGGTTTATCTCCAAACCGGGGGGGCGCATGCCGATGCCAGGCGCGACAATGCCTGCCCCGAACTCTCATTCTCCTCCTCTGCCCCTCCTCGTCTCCTCTGCCTCCTCCCGCGCCGTTTGAATGTATGTTCCCGGGCCCAACCAACGTGGTGAACCGCTGCGGCTCCAGCTGCTCGTGCTGAGGCACTGCCGAGACAGGAAGCGCACGAACACCATATATAATCATGTAGAGCACTCCCAGGCGCTGGCGGCCTAGCCGTAGAGCACCTGCGCCCCAGTCGCTGATGGCGCACAACCCAGGGCGAGCAAGTCCATGTACGCCGCGGAGAAGTTGCGCGCTCCAGTGTGCAGAGGCTGGGCCGACCCTGGAAAAAAAAGGCGACGTCAAGGTCCATCACAGCCTCATGCACAGCACCTCTGGGCGTCGCACGGGTGAGATTGAGCACGATACGCTCGATGTCAACCTCCGCGAGGCACTCGCGCAGAAGGCGCGCCAGAGCTGTGGCGAGGGCACGATGCGGCCGCGTCCGCGCTGGGCCATTCTCGCACACCTGCGGGTGCTTTAGCGTAAGGTTTTAGCGTTGACTGCGCGCCTCTTCGGAGCTACCGCCCCTGAGCTGAAGGCCGCATGCCGCCCCCGGCGGGGCGCTGCTTGCCCCCGGCCTGCGCGCGGCAGCGACGCGGGAATAACTGGACGGGAACCACTCCGCCAGCTTCGCAGGGAGCTGCATCCAGAGCGCGCCCGCGCCAGGGTCCTGGGGGGGCAGGATGGCAAGGCGGCGCTCCTGCGCTCCCGGCCCAATTCCTGCCGCAGCGGGGCGGCGCTCACAAAGTCCGGGTGCCTGAAGATACGCCTGCAGCGCGGGCGGCCCCCCAGCGACGCCGGCGGCGTCGAGGCAGGTCCAGGACGCTTCCCTTGGCGGCGCCCTGCAGTGAGTCTGGGGCTCTGCGGCGTCTGATCCCTCTGCTCGACCGTCCCAAGGCGTCGCCCACAAGGTGGCTCGCACCGAAGTCCGGGGCGCGCCCCGCGCCGGGGGGTGGTGGGAGAGGCGCTGGGCGAAGCCCGCCGGACATGTCCAGGACGCGTCCCTCGTCGGCTTGTCGCGCGCTGACTGGGGCGCCCGTCGGATCGCCTGCTGGGGCCTCTGTCTGCCGCGCCTTGCGCCGAGGGGGCAATTGCGCGGGCGCCCCTCGCGCCCGGCCCGCTGCTCGGAGCAGCCGCGCTGCTCGGCGCGGTTCCACGGCCCATCGGGCGCTCCTGCCACGATGGGGAGGGGGGCGGGGCTCTTGCCCTGTTCGGCGGGGGGAGGGGGGCGCGCGCTGGCCGCCGAGCCCCCCCCGACCCCGCTCGGCGGGCCCGAGGTCGGCGAGGGGAACGCGTCTTCGTTGGCGCCCCCTCCCATTGACTGTCGCGCGCGGCTGCGGGGCGGCCTCTTCCTGCAATCATTGGCCGTGACTGATCTTCCTCGCGGAGCTGGCTACCCCTGTCCGCCGTGCGTAATCTTTGCTATCTCCTGCCGCCCATGGGTTGCCCTTCGCCGCGTCCTTGACGGGTGCAACTTTGCGGGTGGGAAAACAGCCCCGTCCGCAATTATTCGGCCACTCCTTTGCTGGGATCTCTCCTGGCCCTTGCAAAAACCAGCCTCCAGCGTCGGCGTGAACTTCCCGCGCTGCTCTCCGAATTCGACGACGCCGTGCCCCATGGCCTCGGCGAGGATGATGTTGTTCAGGTAGCCCGGCACTTTCTGATCTATAAACTGGCGGACGGTGACCTGCTCCGCTTCATGCCCAGACGTTCTCTGCAATGATATGTGGCACCTCCTTGTTGTAGTGCAGCTGTTGGGTATCTTCTTGATGCGTTAGCTGCTCTGCCAGGCGCAGAGTCCTGTCGACGCCGTCGCACCTCTTGTTCGCCTCGTGCCACTCTACCGCGTGCCGCCCTTGACCGCGCCACCCTGAGAGCAACGCGCGGTTGCCGCAGCACTGCCGGCCTCTGCAAGACCCTGCTTGCGATGACGTGCGGTTGAGCTGCCACTTGAAGTCTGACGGCAATGCGCGGATTCCACCGGGCCGCTCTGAGCTCGAGCGAGCTTTAGTCTGGTGTCAGGCCCTTAGAGATGATGGCATACCCTGGTCATGTCGCCGTGCATTGTGGTGGGAAGCAGGTTGGGGCTTGTTGATCTGCTGCCATCACCTGCGCGTCCAGCATTCTAGGTCAGACGGTCGCGTTCATCTCCTCTGGCGCGAGGCTGATGTCGCCCAGTACCAGCCATGGGCCTCCCCAAACAGACATCGTCCCTCTCCAGTCGCTCAAGATGCCGATGCTGTGGCCTGCGCCTTGTGTCCTGCGCTCCAAGCACACGGAGGCCACCGCGACGCGCACGCTCTTGACTTGCACGAGGACTACCGTGATGTCGCTGCCCTCCTCGCGGAGATACGGTTTTGGGAATCCTGGCATCCTGTCGCTGTCGCCAGCGCTGGTTTTCTTGCCAGCACAATTGCGCCTCATTTGGCGCCTTGCCCTTCTCCTGGATGGGCCGCTGTCCAGAAGCTGCCAGGCCCAGTCTTCCTGAGTGCTGTCGTGGCTCTGCTGATTTTGCGGTTGCAGCGCATGTAGTGCTCCAGAGCGCCTTTGATCTCTACGCCGTTCTTGTCCATGACGTGCCTGACGCGGCCATGTGCCTTGGGCGGCCCAAGCACCGATGTAAAAGAAGCCAGTGTGGAAGGGGCGGCGAGGCTTCGTCTCCCCCGCCCTGGTGTTCTTACTCTGTTGGCGGCTTGTTCTTTGCTCTACAGTTTTGTGCTCAGCCTTCAGAGCTTCGGCGCCGTTGGCTCTAGCTTGAGCGATGTGTGCTTCGACTTCAGCATTTCGAGCCTCGGCTTCTGCTGAGTCTTTGCTGCTGCTCCCTACACCTCGTGCAGCTCCACTTCGGCTTTTGCGCTTGCTTGATGCCGACCCACAAGGTTCATCAATCGACCCCTGGCTGCGGCTGACCTCTGCTGGGGCTGACTCTGCTTTGGCTTGGCTGCCACTTGTGCATGGTTTCTTCCCCGCTGGGGTTTCCTCCGCGTCCGCTGTAGTCTGCTCCGATTGTCTCTTCATCCTGGCCTGCTCCCGGGCCCGCAGCTGCTCATGGCGTTTCCCGATCTCCTTCTCGAGCTTGTCATAGAAGTCATTGGCTGCTGCTTCGCGCTCTGCTGCAGTGTTGGGCCACGTTATCCAGCGTGGCCCTGGCCTGCCTCCAGGTGTCCTTGTCTGTCCCGGTCCAGTTGTGGAAATCATCTGGCTCGCGTTCGCCTTCGGCCAGGAGGGGCTTGCCGACCTGCGCTATCGCTGTGTCGAGCTCCCCCTCTGCCTCTTGGACGGAAGCGGTGTGCTCGAGAAGCTTGCGCTCGCAGTCGGCCAGGTACTGCGTCCTTGCCCATGAGCTTCAGGGCCTTGTCCAGCTGCCTGGCGGCTGCCCATCCTCCTCACCCAAGCCCATCTCTCCCCACATTCCTGCCTCCTCTTGCCTCTGCCCCCTCTTCCCCAGACGTCCCACGTCGTGCTTTGTTTAGCAACGCGGCTCCTCACAGGTCATTACCACTCCTGGGGACAAGCATCGCATCTTAAAACTGTTCTGGCGGTCCCGGCGCCCAGGGGGGGTCACCAAAGGCTGACAGCCAAAAACCTCCCGCCGTGATTTCCCACGGGGCGATGACGTCGGTGCCCAACCTCCTCATTTCAAGAAGGAAAAAAACACACAGACACAATCAATCGTCGACTCGCTGGAAAACTATGGGAAAATATGGGAAGTGGGGGGGAGACAAAAACCCAGAAAATACTGGAAAAAGATGGGGAATCCTGCTATTTGGGCGTATTTACTTGTGTGTCCCAGGGCCCCGTCATCATCTTCCTCCAGCGGACCTCGAGGCGAGACCTCCAGCCCCCGAAAGAGCAACATCCGCGCCGCGGGGCGGCCGCCTCGCCAGGCGCTCGGGGGCGCCGGGGGCGCCGCCCTGGCGGCAGCGGCCCTCGAGCTCGGCGCGCACCTTCTCGGGGGGCCGGCCGGTGGTGGGAGCGCTACGCCACCGCCGCCGCTGCTTCTGTCTCCCCGGACTCCAGATCCGCCCTATTTTGGCTTTTTTTCCAACTTAAAATTGCGTCGGAAATCCACCTAGAAGGAGCCGAAAAAGTAGGGCGGAAATTTCTGCACCCAACATAAAATGGGGCGAAAATCCACAGAAGTAGGGCGGAAACAACAACAGAAAAGTAGGGCGGAAATTGGCATCAGCGGGGCTTGAAAAGTAAGGCGGAAATTCCAAGCCCTACTAACGAATTCCCCCAAAGTAGGGCGGATCCGGAGTCAGGGCGGCCGGTGGTGGGAGCGCTACGCCACCGCCACCGCTGCTTCTGTCTCCCCTGCAGAACGCACGCGCGCCCACGCAACAGCTCGGAATGGACGCTCGGTCGAACCGAGCTTCGCTCAAGAGAACGAAACGAGGATTACGTCAGGCGTGTCCCCCTACAGGGGGACTGTCGACGAAAAAATTCAACTAATTGAAGAAATACCCCAAAATTGACAACAAATGCTCAACAAATAATCACCCGATGTCTTTAAACTATGTTTGGATAGTCCCCCTGTAGAGGGACAGGCCCGACTTAAAACCAGGACCAGAAGGCAGGAAAGAAAGTGCGAGCCTCCAGCTGCGCCGAATGAGGGGCGTCGAAGACCGCATGGAGCCCTGGGAGGCCTTCGGGGCCCCATGGCAAGTTGGTCGACCCAGAAGGGGGTCCAGCTAAGAGGGGGCGGTGCAATAGATGTGGGGCAATCGTGTTGCCAATGTACTGCGCTGGAGAGTTGTACTGCGCTGGAGAGTTGTACTGCATTGTGCTGCAACTCGTGTACTGTACGCGCAAATCCGGCTATGCACTCTCTTGCGCCCCCGAATGTATTGCACGCCCCGAATCTATTGCAACCCGCAAATCTATTGCACCAGATCTATTGCACCACCCCCGTGTAGCTGGGCCCCCTCTTGGGTCGACCAGAACCATCGGAGGCGGGGCCTACACTCGACAGGGTTCGGAAAAACCACTCCTCGGGGATCTTCTGACCCGGGTCGATCCAGACCCGGGTCAGTCAGGCCTTGCAGAATCCTGCAAGAGCCTGCAAGATCCTGCACCCAAGCCCGGGTCAAAGCGACCCTGGCGCTGCAGGATCCTGCAAGATCCGGCGCTTTGGCTGACCTGAAACAGGGCTAGGATCGGGATAAATCGCTCCAGAGCGTTCCGGAGCGCTCTCAGAGCGTTCCGGAACGCTCTGGAGCGGCCGCGGCGCCCAATATATCCTCCAAACCCGCCGATTCTCAGAGATTTCGAGTTATCCCGATCCGATTTTGTCCCGATCTTCGCGTCGTTTTAGCTCTGGCTGACCCCCGTTTGCACTTGACCCCTGCCTCTTGAGCACCGACCTCCCGGGGCGCAGCCCTCGCCGAACCTCGCCTCCTCAACGCCAGGAGACCTCGGGGCGTTCTCTCCGCCTCTCCATGGGGCGGCTGGCGAGGAGCGCCGCCCCTCCCCGCCTTCGCCCCGCCTTCGCCCGCCCTCCGCCCCTCCTCCGCCTCCGCCGCCTCCCCCTCCCCCTCCTCCTCCTCCTCCTCCTCCTCCTCCTCCTCCTCCTCCTCCTCCACCCTCTCCTCCTATTCCTCCCCCTCCTCCTCCTCCTCCTCCTCCTCCTGCTCCTCCTCCTCTTCCTCTCCTCCTCCTCCTCTTCTTCCTCCTCCTCCTCCTCCTCCCCTCCTCCCTCCTCCTCCACCCTCTCCTCCTATTCCTCCCCCTCCTCCTCCTCCTCCTCCTCCTCATCCTCTGCTCCTCCTCCTCCTCCTCCTCCTCTTCTTCCTCCTCCTCCTCCTCCTCCTCCTCCTCCTCCTCCTCACTGCGAGAGAGCGCCCCGAGCTCGTGGCATTTCGCGCCGGCTGGGTGTCGGGGGCAGCGAGTGGCGGGGAAGGGCCAGAGCGGGCAGCACCGAATAGGCAAAACGGCTCGGATTCGGAATGCGCGTCGGGTCGGGCCGCAGGGGCACGGAGTCGGTACCGAAGCGGATCGGCCGCGCAATGATGCACAACGGCGCCATGGAAGCAACGGGCCGCGTCGGATCGTCGAAACATCGGGGTGGTCGAGGCCGACCAAGGAGAGGGGCGTCCCAGAGGGGTTCGCAGATCATGGCCAAAGGCTCGTGCACGCAGAGGGGGACCGGGGGTCGCATTGAAGTATAAACACGGGGCCATGCAATCCTGGCGGATATCATGGCCCCGGTCATTGCATCCATCCCCCGTGTTGCCGCCCCTCCTCCCCTCCCACTGGGATGGGGAGGAGGGGGGGAAGGATCTGCTTACAGTGGCCAGGAAACAATTCCTGGGGGTCTTCGTAGGAGCGAATAACTATCAAGCCGAGGAAGGCCATTCAACCGGATTCGGCCACATGAAATCCAGGATTAAGCGACACTAGACCAGGGTAGGACGGTCTATGAACGCGGATATTCTAGTGTCGATGCTGAATGTAACCTTCCAGGAGCCAATCTGTCTGGGTGCGATACGAGACGCAAAGCGGAGCAAGACCAGACTTATACCACAGAAGAGTTATAATTCAACATGTATGTGATTCCCCGTCCGACTCCTGCGAGTCCGCCTTCGTATCCTGCTGCTCATCCGCTCCTCTCTCTCCCTCTCTCCTCCTCCTCCTCCTCCTCCTCCTCCTCCTCCTCCTCCTCCTCCTCCTCCTCCTCCTCCTCCTCCTCCGCCTCCGCCTCCGCCTCCGCCTCCGCCTCCGCCTCCGCCTCCGCCTCCGCCTCCGCCTCCGCCTCCGCCTCCGCCTCCGCCTCCGCCTCCGCCTCCGCCTCCGCCTCCGCCTCCGCCTCCGCCTCCGCCTCCGCCTCCGCCTCCGCCTCCGCCTCCGCCTCTCCTCCTCCTCCTCCTCCTCCTCCTCCTCCTCCTCCTCCTCCCTCCTCCTCCTCGTGATCATCATCTTCCTCCTCTTCTTTGTTCGCCTTCTCCTCCTCCTCCTCCCGCCGCTGCGGCGGTTGTTGCTGTTACTGTTGCTATTGCTGATGCTGTTGCTGCTGCTGCTGCTGCTCCTCCGCCTCCTCATCCTCCTCCTGCTCTTCCTCATGCTCCTCCTTTTCCCCTTCCCCCTCCCCCCTCCGCCTCACACTCCTCCCGGCTCCTCACCCTGCTCCTTCTGCTCCTCCGCCTCCTCCTGCTCCTGCTCCTCCTCCTCCTCCTCCTCCTCCTCCTCCTCCTCCTCATGTTCCTTTTCCTTTTCCTCCTCCTCCTCCTCCTCCTCCTCCTCCCGCGGTGGGCGGCGGCCTTGGGAAAACCTTCGGAAACCAACAGGCAATTCCAGGATCACCACAGAGCATCCAAGGAAGACTTAGGACACCACATAAGCATAGCAGAATAGGAAACCCGAGGCAAACAAACCACATAAGGAATACCACATGAACCTCAGTGCAACCAAAGACAACTTGAGAAACACACCGAACAACAGCATGACTACCGATCAACGCAAACACAGGTCAATCGAACGCGATAGGACACCCACGACACACAACTGGAAACTTGATGAATAACCTTGGACACCTTAGTGGTGACTTCAGGACAGCCGGAGGAACACAGAAGACAGCCAAAAGAAAACACTGGAGAACTAATTATATTCAGTTGGCGCCGAAGAGAAACCAGAAGACAATCGAAGGGACACGTTCGACAACAAACTGAAAACCAAACAACAGCGAATGCGCACACCAAACTATACTCGTATGAGACCACAAGCACGCCATAGGACATGTACGGACAAGCACAGGACACCTAAGGAAAACCGTAGGAAGCCAAAGGAGGCTCATAGGAAGCAAGAGGACAACAATCTTGCACCTCAAGGGGACGGTAGAAAAGCAACAGGTAAACCAGGCAACACTCAATCATACCGAAGCAACAACAAGACACTACGAAACGGACGCCTACGGAGCACCCAGGGAGGAGCGCCCGAGAGGCAGCTCAGAGGAAACCGAGAGGCCACCCAAACGAAATCTGAAAGAAACCGACAAACACCCAAAAGGATCCGAACCAGGCAACGAAACGAGCCTTCTGGCACTCGTATCGACATCCACCCAGAGAAGTAGCCCTTCACCAGGAGAGCGCACGCCCCTCACGTGGAGAAGTACGACTCCCTAGAGAAAGGGAGAGAGAGACCACTCCGCAGCTCGCTTCCCGCTTCCACAGCTGACATCCGCCGGTGTGACTTGTTCAATCCGCGGCCCTGGGGGCCCCGATCCCCCCCCCCATGGCCACGTTTGCGGCCCGGACCCGAATCCGCTGTTGATGGCCCAGGGCCCTGAAAGCTGCCCCGGGAGGCCAACAGCTGTGGAAAAAGCAAGGTTAGCAACAAAGCATCGTCGGGGATCAGGGGGGGCTGCTCCCCATCTCCCTTCCCTCCTCCCTCCTCCCTCCTCCCTCCTCCCTCCTCCCTCCTCCCTCCTGTGATTCAAAACCACCAGCGGCTGCTGTTGGGCAGGCGCCCTGTCGCCTCGGGTGGACAACGCCCATGGCGGCCCGACAGCCAGTCCCGTTCAGAATGAACAGGGGCTACCTTTGATCATCGTATCCCTTCTTTCCGTGCCCCGCTTTCGGCGGCGAGCGAGGGAGGAAGTGAGAAGGAGAAGGCCTTCTCAGAAGCAGGGGGGGGCTTCTCAGAGGCCCTCGCGGCTTCCGAGACCTTCCCCCCTGTCGTCGGGGAAGACCCAGGGATACTTTTCAGAAGGCTGGGGGACTTCCGGGCATTCTGAGAAGGCCCGCCCCTTCTCGCTTCCCCCCCTCGCTTTTGGTCGGGCATGTCTCCCTAAAGGCGGATTTTGGGCAACAGAATTGTAAATTAGCCAGATAACCTTCAAACATAGTCAAGACATGGTAGAAAAATCGTCCCAATACTATTTTTGAGTACTCCTCCTGTAGAGGAACATGCCCGATTTAACTCTTCCCTCGGGGGTTTTACTTTGCTCTCATCGCACTTCAGGACCACAGCCCAGACATAAATCGAGCAAAGGCTGTGAGAGCGTTCCAGAACGCTCTGGAACGGGCTTCTCCTCGTCCTGGCCCCGTCCGACCGAAGGGGGCGGGGGGGGGAGAACCCCCGAGAGCGCCCAGAGCATGGAGCTCTTGGCCCCTAAACAATGTGTTTCCAGCGTGGGTCCCGAGGTCTTCGACCACTAGCACCCATCGCACTTCAGGACCACATCCCAGAAAGAAGTTCGAGCACCCAGAGAAGTATCGAAACAATGTCGAACGAGCATCGCCTCCCAGGGCACGACACGTGAAAACCGTCAAGAATCGGTAGTTTGTTGGTGCCCGAAATTCCTTCTGGCGGTCAAGGCTAAAATAGGTTGGAACACCCCAGGGCCGGTTTGCGCCCCAGGTCGCTTTTTTTGACTCTCCCGAATCAGGGCCCCGTAAACCTGAACACGCTAGACCCAGACACCCAACATCCCTCAAAACATTTTTCCAGACGGCGGCACGAACAAAAAAGATCACTGCAGCACTCCCAGAATAAACCCGGACACAGGCCCTAAAAGCCTGCAAGACCCATCCCCCCCAAAGCCGGACACAAACCCGACTCCTCCGGTGCGGCAAACAAGAGATGCCTGCGTGATGGAAGCCGTGACGTTGCAGGACAGGGTGTCGCTTCCTTGCTTTGTCCGTGTCCTGGCTTCTCTGTGCCCTGGCATGCTTGAATCTTTTCGGGTACGCTTGAGAGCAGTTTCAGAGCGGCGGCGGGCCCCCGGGGGGGGGGGGCAGCGAGGAAGGGAGGAGGAGGGAGGGGGAGGAGGAGGGGGGGGGGGAAGGGGAGGAGGGAGGAGGAGGGAGGGAGGAGGAGGAGGAGGAGGAGGAGGAGGAGGAGGAGGAGGAGGAGGAGATGTCTGAGCATTCCTGTGACTACTCCTGCTCGCCCAAAAAGTCCGCCTGCAGGAGGGCACGCCCGACCCCACCGCCGGCCGCGGGGGGCCCCGCCGCCCGGGGGCGGCCGCGGGCGGGCGGGGGCGGAGCTCCTCGGGGGAGCCAGGCCTGGTCATCGCTCGGACGTCCATTCTCTGGCGTTTTTTTCGGTTTTTCGTGCGTGGCTTTTTCGCCAAAGGATCAAGGATGTTCCTCGATCCTCCTCGCCGAAGGAGAAACAGGCACACGCCCGAGCGATGCCAAGGTCCCAGAGCCCGACAGGTAAAAGCCCTCGAGGACGTCCATTCCCTGTGCCTTTTTCGGCTTCGTGCGTGGCTTTTTCGCCAGATGATCCAGGGTGCTCCTCGATCCTCCTCGCCGAACAAAAAAATGCACACGTCCGAGCGATGCCCAGAGGCCCAAAGACCCCCCCTCGCGAGGCCCCCGGGAGGCCGAAGACGGCCGGGGACCGCCTGCCCAGCAGGATCTCTGTCGGGGCGTCGGGCCTCAGGGGCCTGCCCCCCTCGCCTCCCCTGCCCGCCCCTCGTGCCCAGACGCCGTCGAGGGAGGAGGAGGAGGAGGAGGAGGAGGAGGAGGAGGAGGAGGAGGAGGAGGAGGAGGAGGAGGAGGAGGAGGAGGAGGAGGCCCCCCCCCCCCCGGAAACCGCCGCAGCAAGGGCGAGGATGAGATCGGACGAGGGTACATCGAGAATCTCCTAGGGGGCCACATGGAGGCTCTGGAGGATGTACCAGGCGCCGCAGCCTTCTCGGAGCGCTCCGGAACGCTGTGAGAGCGTTCCAGAACGCTATGGAACGGGTTTATCCTCGTCCCAGCTCCGTCCGACCGAAGGGGGAGGGAGGTGGAGGATGTACCAGGCGCCGCAGCCTTCTCGGAGCGCTCCGGAACGCTGTGAGAGCGTTCCAGAACGCTATGGAACGGGTTTATCCTCGTCCCAGCTCCGTCCGACCGAAGGGGGAGGGAGGACCCCTGAGATCGCCCGGAGCATGGAGCTCTTGGCCCCTCACACAATATGTTTCCATCGTGGGCCCCAAACAGTTGGTTATTGCACGGTGGATGCGCAACCCATACATATGTCCGATTCCGAAAACCCTGAACCCAAAACGTTTTCATCTCTCGGGGGCGCATTTTTTACTTCCACCGCCTTCCGCCGAGCTTCCGCCCGCTGCCAACGGCGGAGGCGGCCTCGTTTCACTTCCGCCGACCTGCCGCCGCCTTCCGCCGCTGAAGAGATGACAACTCCTTCGATCCTCGCAGGCAAGGCCCTTTTTTGGAAGCGCCCCATGTCTGGACCAGGCTTATCCTCGTCCCAGCCCCGTCGGACCCTTCCCGCTTCCGATCCCCCGCGCGCTGGCCCCACCGAGCGCACGAGGCGGCCACGAGACGGCCACGAGGCGGCCACGGTCGGCGACGTGGCGAGAACTCGTCGGACCCAAACACGATGGGCCTATTTCCCACCACCACCACCACCACCACCATACGCTGGAGGGGGGGGGGTCCTCCTCCTCCTCCTCCTCCTCCTCCTCCTCCTCCTTCTCCTCCTCCTCCTCCTCCTCCTCCTCCTCCTCCTCCTCCTCCTCCTCCTGCTGTTCGTCCTCCTCCGCCTCCTCGTCCTCCACATCCCTCCCCCTCCCAACTTATGGCCCCAACCCCCGGCGTCATGATTTGTATCATTACGTCGACCCCCCGAGGTCTGAACCTATTCCCCAGGAGCGGCTTTTCATGCTGAACCGTTTTTTGACGGTCCCGAGGCCTGGTAAAGGCCCACAGAGACCGAACATGGCGAAAAACCTCGGCGTCAAGATATTTTCAATACTCGAGGGGGTCTGGGTATGGTGGTGGTGGTGGTGATGGTGGACAGCAAAGCCCATCAACACCTCGCCGTCGCTCGGACGTCCATTTCCCGTGCATTTGTCGGTTTCGTGCGTGCTTTTTTTTCCTCGTCCAGGATGGCCCTCCATGGCCCTCGCCGGGAAAAAGTGCACACGCCCGAGCGATGCCAGGACACAGCGCCCCGCGGCGGCCACGAGGCGGCCACGGGCGGCGCCGCCCCGACAAAGCCCCCGCCGGCCCCCCCCCCCCGCGGGAGAGCGCAGCGCGCCTCGGCCACGGGGCGGCCGCGCCGCAGGTCGCCGAGGGCGAGCCCCGACAGCAGCACCGCGGCCGCCTCCGCGGCGCGCGGGCGCGCGCGCCGCTCTGCGCTCGGCCACGGGCGGCCGCCGCCGTGCGGCGCACCAGGCTCGGGTCGGGCGTGCCCCCCCTACAGGCGGATTCTGGACGACAACTGAAAAATAGTCAAGGCAGAATGCTCCAGAGTAGTTTTTTAAAAAGTCATCGACGATCCTCCCAGAAACTGTGTTCTGTCCATGTTTGAAGTTTCCTCCTGTGGAAAAGGACACGCCCGACTGAACCCCAGACTCGCCTCCATCCTCCTCCTCCTCCTCCTCCTCCTCCTCCTCCTCCTCCTCCTCCTCCTCCTCCTCCTCCTTCTCCAGAAGGAAAAGAAATCAAGAGCGGCGCAAACAGAAACTGGTGGCGCTCCGCGCGGATGTCTTGCATCTGCGCCGGACCCCCCCCTCCCTGGCACGCGGAGCGCGCCAGGGGCGGCACCAGAGGCGTTGCCAGGCGCGGATCCCAGGAGCGGAGCGCCAAAAGTTTATACTTTGGGCGTTTTTTGTTCATCGATCTTTCTCCCATTGGTGGCAGCAGAAGGCCCAACTCTCCGACAATATGTTCCACTAGCTATGCTTCTTTGATTTCGGCCCTCGCGAGCCGGTTGAACCGGGCCCATGGGCCATCGAAAAAATTGATCCAGGGCAGAAGACTGCCCCGAGGGGAGCGGTGGTGACTTCTGTAGACAAGCGCGTTCCACTACTCGCAAAGTAACTACTCGCAAGTGGCCTGGATCCGCAATGGGGGATCTACGATACATGACGCCGATGCAGACATGCGCTCTGCGGACGTGGGCGAGCAGGCACTCTGCGAGCAGTGGAACGCGCTCGGTGGCTTCTGGGGCCGCGCGACGGCACAGATCAGATGGGCGGATGCCGGGGGACGAGCAGGGGGCCACATGCGAACCCTACCCCTGCCCCCCACCGATTTCTGAGGGGGAGGGTGGGCTTCACGTCGCTCGGGAGCTCCCGCACGAAGTGAACCCCACCCTCCCCCTCAGAAATCGTGGGGGGCAGGGGTAGGGTTCGCTTGTGGCCCCCCTAACGAGGCAGCCCCAGAACTCCAAGGTGTTACGAGGTCAGGGCGGCGGGGGCCGTCGTCGTCGGGGCCTCTGGGGGGGCACCTGCTGGGCCTCGGGGGCAGGCACAGAAACGGCTCCGGGTGCCCTGCCGGCCGCACAGGGGCGGGGAGCACCCACTCCTGGGCCCCCCTCTATCGGGCCTCTGCGGCTGGGGAGGGAGGACGAGGAGGGGGACGGCGGAGGGGAGGGAGAGGAGCAGCGGGAGGGGAGCGAGAGGAGCAGGGGGAGAGCATGAGCAGCAGGAGGAAGGAGGAGAGGAGGAGAGGAGAGGAGGAAGAGGAGAGGAGAAGGATGAGAGGAGGAGCGCGAGGAGAAAGATGGATCGGAGACGGAGAGGAGAGGGGGAGGTGTAGGGGGGGGGGCCTCCAACCCCGTCCCTCACTGCTCCTCTCCCCGCTCTCACTCCCCCTCCTCTCCTCCCCTCCCTTCTGCCTGCTGCTCCACAATTACTCAATATGAATATACTATCCCTCTTCCCCTGATGGCGTCCAGGTGATGGCCGCGCACCCTCCGCGTACTGTTTTTTACACACAGGATGCCCGGGAAATCCCGGGAAACGACTCTCACTGAGGCGCCGGCGTCATTTTTTCCCAAAATGCTGCTCTCGCGCCGGCGTCATTTTTTCCCAAAATGCTGCTCTCGTTGAGGCGCCGGCCTCATTTCTGCTCCCGAACCCTTCCCCTGATGGCGTCCAGGTGATGGCCGCGCACCCTCCGCGTACTGTTTTTTTACACACAGGATGCCCAGGAAATCCCGGGAAACGACTCTCGCTGAGGCGCCGGCGTCATTTTTTCCCAAAATGCTGCTCTCGTTGAGGCGCCGGCCTCATTTCTGCTCCCGAATCGTTCCGAATCGTGCTCCCGCTGCAGCGTGGGCCTCATTTTCGGATCGGTGTTTGGCCTCCGTCGTTCAGGATGGCGTTCTCGCCCCAGCGCGGGCCTCTTTCTCGCGCGCCCATCCGCCCGCCACCACCGCGCCGCACCGCCACCACCACCACCACCACCACCACCACCACCACCACCACCACCACCACCACCACAACCACCAGCCACCACCACCACCACCACACCACCAGCACCACCATCACCACCACCACCACCACCACCACCACCACCACCACCACCACCACCACCACACCACCAGCACCAGCACCAGCACCAGTACCAACACCACCACCACCAGCACCCACCACCACCAGCACCACCACCACCACCACCACCACCATCACCACCACCACCACCACCACCACCACCACCACCACCACCACCACCACCACCACGACAACCACGCACACACGCACGCACGCACGCACGTGCACCACCACCCACTACGCACGCGCGCGCGGAGCCACAGGTCCGCTACGACACGCGTCCGCGGATAGAGAAAATCAGCGCCATGGTAAGGGATGGGAGGGAGGGCTAGGACGTCAGATATGACGCGAGCGCACCTAGCTTGCCATGCTCCCCTCTCCGTCCTCCCTCCCCGCTCCCGCCCACCCCCCTCCCCACTCCTCCCTCTCGCCCTTCCTCGCCCCTCCCGCCCTTGCGCGTTCCCCTCCCCCTCCCCTCTTCCCTCCCCTCCATCCCTCTCCTTTTCCCCTCTTCCCTTTTCCCTCTTTCCTTTTCCCTCGCCTCCATCCCTCTTTTCTTTCCCCTGTTCCCCTCTTTCTTTTTCCCTCGCCTCCATCCCTCTCCTCCTTTCCCCCCCTGCCCCCCAACCCCCCCCTCGTGGACCGTCGACCCCCCTCCGCTCCCTCGTCGCGCCAAAGGAGCACGTTCCCGCAGAACTGCGCGTTGGGAGAAAGAAGAACAGTGACGAGGAGCAGGAGAAGGAACAATAGGACGGGTGAGGAAGGACGAAGAGGAAAAGCAGCAGGAGGCGCAAGAGGAGGCGCAAGGGGAGGATGAGGAGCAAGAGATGGAGACAAACAACGCGGAATGGGGGGAAGTAGGAGGAGCAAGAGGAGGACAAGGAGTAGGATGAGCAGGAGGGGCCGCAAGATGCTCCGCGGATCAATGCGTTGCCCGATCAGTCTGCCTCAAGATCGCGCCGATCACGGCGGAGATGCACTTGGACACAGGGCTGTCAGGCGCCGTCTGCGACAGCGGCTTGCCCGCGTCCCCGGCGGCGGCCACGGCGCCATCGAGCGGGATCCGGCCAAGGAAGGGCACGCCCATCTGTCTGCACATTGCCTCCGCACCGCCGGTGGTGGGCTGAAAGATGCGCTCCTCGTGACCGCACTTTGGGCAGCAATACCCGCTCATGTTCTCGACGACGCCGATTACAGGCAGGCCAACTTTCTTGCAGAAGTTGATCTCCTTTCGGGGCGGCCGAAGGGGGGGGCAGCAAAGGAGGGAGCTCGCGAATCAGCTCATGCAGGTGGGCCTGAGCGGGATCGAATCGCGAGATCGGATCGGATCGACAACAGGTCTGATCGCCAACGAATGATGAAGTCGGGCATGTCCCTCTACAGGAGGAACTTCCCAAAATAGTCAACCAAACAACCGAGGGACGATTCGTTGACTCTTTTGGACCATTGTTGAATGTGCTTGGGCTATGTTTGTTTTACTGTTCGCCCAAAGCCCCCCCTGCAGGAGGACGTACCCGACCTAAACGAATCGTCCCGAAGCGGACCGCCGCGCTCGGCCTCGCCGGCTGGCCCCGCCCGGTGCCGGCGAGTCGATCCGAATCGGCATCGCGGCCCCAGCGAGGAAGACTCGGCTCGCAGCGGATGGGGTCGCGGGCGGGCCGGCGCCTCGTCGTATGCCTCCCATGCGCGCCTCGCGTCGAAGAAAGGCGCGTGGCGGTGGTGCCGAAAGCAGCTGCACGCAGCCGGTCCTCCTCCTCCTCCTCCTCCTCCTCCTCCTGCTCCTCCTCCTCCTGCTCCTCCTCCTGCTCCTCCTGCTCCTCCTCCCCTCCTCCTCCTCCTCCTCCTCTCCTCCTTCCTGCTCCTCTCCCTCCTCCTCCTCCTCCTCCTCCTCCTGCTCCTCCTTCGCCTCCTCCTGCTCCTCCTCCCTCTTCTCCCCTTCCTCCTCCTCCTCCTCCTCCTGCTCCTCCTTCTCCTCCCTCTCCCTCCTCTCCTCTCCCTCTTCCTCCCTCCTCTCCCTCTTCCTCCTCCTCCTCCCCCTCGTTTCCAGTCCTTTTGGCCGACCCGATCCTTGCGCACGTCCATCAGGCTCACCTCCTGGGGCGTCGTGACGATGACGGCGCCGTCCATGGCCGCCTCCTGCAGGTAGGTCACGATGGATGATGGGCCAATCTCCACCACCACTACCATCACCACTACCATAGGTAGGACGGGGGAGGAGGGAGGATGGGGAGGTCCTCCTCCTCCTCCTCCTCCTCCTTCTCCTCCTCCTCCTCCTCCTCCTCCTCCTTCTCCTGGTGGTGGAAAATCGGCCCATCAATGGACAGGTGCTCGTCCGAGGTGCCCGGCGGGGTGTCGATCACCAGCACGTCGAGCGCTCCCCAGGTCACGTCCGTGAGGAACTGCTTGATCAGCCCGTTCTTGCGAGGCCCGCGCCAGATGATGGCGTCGTCCTGGTTCGGGAGCATGAACCCGATGGTCGGCGGCATGCCCAGGGGGGCGGAAGCGAGAGGGGGCCGGCCCGCTCAGCGGCATTCTCCGAGGCCGCAGGACGCTTCTCAGAAGGCCGAAGGGCTTCTGAGAAGCCCCGCCACTTCCTGAGCAGGCCTGCCCACTCTCGCTTCCCTAGAAGGAGAAAAACTGCGTCATCATAAGCTTTGGGCGCTCCGCGCGGATTTCTTGGATCTGCGCCAGAGGCGTCGCCAGAGGGGCCCCAGGCGCGGATCCACGAAATCCGCGCGGAGCGCCGAAAGTTTCCGCTTGTGGCGTTTTTTCCTTCCAGGGGAGCGAGAGTGAGCAGGCCTTCTCAGGAAGTGGCGGGGCTTCT